AAAAAAAAAAAAAAAAAAAAAAAAAAAAGATAATAAAAATATTTAGTTGAACTATGTGATGCGAACACCGTCGAGTCTACGTCGCCAGCGCTGGCACATTGGGAACCCCATTTTCGAACCTTTTTCCAAAATCACGATCCTCTTTTGCTCTAATCTACGCGCTGCGACTATAATATCAATATCTTTGGATACTCGCCCTTCCATTGGTTTTCTTTTGTTAATTTCTTTCATTTTCCCATCCTGTAATTGTGCTATTGTCGGTGCCGCCAAGCAAGCAATCGTTTGGATCAAATAAATAAATAAATAACGATATAAATCAAATTATTTATAATCATTAAAAAGAAAAAAACTATCAAATACAAACATTTGAACCTCTTTACTTTAATAATTATCAAAGATTTGCTAAGAGTTTCGGATGGCTACCGAGCTTGATGCAAGCCTTCTGGCATTGATAACACTATTACTGTCAAGAACTAAGCCAGCAGCAAGTTGGCATCCTAACGAGACTTTTAGTGAAGCATAAATATCATCGACAAAAAGTGAATATTCTCTCTAATTGAATAATCCAAGCACGAGAAGAAAAAAATGGTCCAATTGACAGTGGAATTTTGTATCATTCACAAATATATACAATAAATGTATAGCAAAAAAGAGCCCAACAGTTGCTTTCCAAGCAGGAATATGGACATAAAAAGCAAAAGAAAAGAAAGATGAAATGGTCCAAATAGATTGGTTCTCCTTTTTAGTTTTTATCATCTCTTTCTTTTCTTTTTAAATATCTTTTACTCGCACCCTTTTCAGCCTTTCAAAAAGGAAAGATGGAACTGTAAGAGGTTCATGGGAAACAATTAACAAACTATGTAGAATAATTCAGTCCTAAAAATCATCCCGAAGACGAAACAAACTGGTAATTTGATCTGTGTTGCTACTCCACACATTGTTCCACATAAAACTCACAGCAACAATTTCAAGTGATATCGAAAAAGATAGATACGATACAAATATTCTACCTTCATTCAAAATTATATGTCTAAATCATCATCAGGGTCTTCATCAGAATCTGGCATCTCGTCTTCTGAATCGCGAAAATATATGATCTCTCCCTTCCCTGGTTCTTCATCCTTGCTTTTCTCATTGGTCGAGAGAGGTTTGTCGTCATCTTTGCTTTCGGTAAGAGATCTTCGACCATCGTATATTTGTATCGGTTTACCATTTCCTATAAGAAAAGTCGACCTTGAACAGTTAGTCAAGACTCAGGATAACCTTACTGCCGGGATAATAGGGTCAAATCAGGTTAGAATTATTTTGCAATATGCAATGATAGGGCATTGACAATCCGAACCTTGATGCTCGAAAGGAAGAACAACTCTAGCCCTGTCAATTTGCTCTTTCTCAGACAACTGAAGATTGAACTGCACCTGGGAGAAGAAATGTAGTCCATTCATCAGTTTTTCATTCATGAAAATTTATGAGAAAAAAGTTCATATGACTAATGATTTATGGCAACAGCCAAGGGAGATTCAATTCGAGGGCTCCCCTAACTCCAAGAACACTCGAATTACGAGTCCTAAAACAAAATACCAAAAGCATACATTCGCCTTCCCTCCGGAATGCCCTTAAAGGACTATCCTTATACAACAAAACGTTCAGCAACATACGAACAGGAGCACATGGGTGTATAAAATCACAGCAACACACGCCCAAAAGATTACAACACGCCCACGCCGACTTCTCACATACAATATCATTCGTCTCCCCTATTTTCTATTTCGTAATCCTACGTGTATTGACTGTAGTGACTCAGGGTCTATCACTGTACTAGTTGGGGAAAGATCAGGCATATCAAGAGTAAATCCTCATGCTTGTGTATTCAAACTTGGATGCAAAGTACATTTGGAATAACTTCGGAAAAAAATAAGTTTTTTTTTAACAAAATCAACTTTTCTATGAGCATCTTTGCAAAAACTACTAATTTAAAGTATGATTAGTGTGACTTTTTGAATGATTTTAGAAGAATAAAAGTATTTTTTAGAAAAATTTTAATAAAGAAGAAGCATTTAAGAAATTAGATTAACTAAAAATCTATTTTGAAGAAACATTTAAACATAGATTATCCAAAAATGATTTTAAAGTGATTAACCGAAAATCTTCAAAATATACCATAAGAAAAAAAAACATATTTTCATAAAAAAAAAATGAAAGATATAAAAATACGTTTCTAAAAAATGCTTAAACTAGAAGGTATTCCAAACAAACCCTAAACCTAAGAAGAAAATGATTCCTTGTACCATAAAATTCAATTTTGGTAGATCCAAATTTTTAAGAGTCCAATATTGGGAAACTATGAAAGAGGCCAAAATCAAGATAACTAACCTTCGGTACAAGCCCTTGATTGACGACTGCATCTTCAGATGAAATGGACGTAAATTTGATGCCCGACTGCTCAACTTTAAAATTTTCACACTAAACATTGAACATCAAGAATCTATGGTTATAACCGTGAATTTCAAAAGTAAATACCAAAAGTTTTGCAAAAGAAGAGATTTTACAATGACTCGCACGCGTCCATTTCTGCGTTTAATCCGCACATGAAACCTCCCTTTAGTAGAGCTGTGTTCAAGATAGGGAGTGTTCAGACTGCTTTCGCGCACATATGGGGATGGAGTTAATGGCTCAACTGTGGCCACCATTGAAGACATATATTCAAGAGCAGCTATGACCTTTTCCTCGTGAAGGTCTTCATGTACCAACCAAAATGTACTTGAAACCTTATCTAAAATCACAAGTAAACAGTTCAAACAGGATTAATATATCCTATCATATCATATCCATACCATCAAATAAGAGCTATCAAGTGAACTATTAATCATAACTCATAAGATTTGATTTATCTAAGCAGCAAAAATTTCAGAGGTAATATATCGTATCATATCCATACCATTGCTCCGAAGGTTGCTTAAAAGACCTGCAACTGCTGATGTAGAAGAATGCCTTAACATATCGGTTACCTAGTAAAATTTCAGAAGCTTAAATAAAAATGAGAAAATAAAAGCAACGACATTCAAATTGGTAGTGAATGGAAATAAAGAAAAGAGCAAAAATAACAAGTGAGATCCCACGTCGGTTGAGGAGGAGAACAAAACATTTTTTATAAGGGTGTGGAAACCTCTCCCTAGCAAACGCGTTTTAGAAAACCTTTCGGGGAAGCTCGAAAGGGAAATCCCAAAGAGGACAATATCTACTAGCAGTGGGCTTGAGTCATTACAAATGGTATCAGAACCAGACACCGGGCGATGTGCCAGCTAGGAGGCTAAGTTTTGAAGGGGGTTTACACGACAGTGTGCCAGTAAGGAGCTGGGCCCTAAAGGGGGGTGAGGATTGAGAGATCCTACATCGGTTGGGGATGAAAACGAAGCATCTATACGGGTGTGGAAACCTTTCCCTAGCAGATGCGTTTTAAAAAACCTTAAGAGGAAGCTCGAAAGAACAGTCCAAAGAGAACAATATCTCCTAGCGGTGGGCTTGAACTGTTACAGAACAACTATAAACAAGAGTGGAGCTTATCCCTATGGAATTTTACCAGCACCAAACTAAAAACAAAAAGATGCAACTGATGATTCACATTGTTTATACGCATTTCTTGCTGCCACACCTCAATGAAGAAAGGAAGTATCAACTTTCAACATAGAACCCAGAAAGGAGAATACTCTTTGACAATTTGATAGTCTCAAGATGTTAACTATATTTAATGAGTAATATGCAGGAGAAAATAAATTATCTGGATGGTTTGATAAAGGAGAATACGCCTGGACAGTTTGGTATTCTTAATTATATTCAATAGGTACTATACACAAGAAAAGAATATAAGAGACTAGGGGTCTCAAGTCTGCTCATAGTTAATACTAACAATAAGTGGTTCCTTGAATGGTACCAAAGAGGGAGAGAACGTACCGAGTCTACGGCAACGCAAAAGCGTACAGTTCCTTCTCCAACAAATCCTGCTAGAACATTAAAATTTAACTTGTGACCTTTTTCTTGCAAAATAAGCCCAGAAAATCACTACGCTATATTCTCAATCAAGATTATAGTCATACCTTTTCCAAGCGTAATAATTGAAGAGAATAGATTATCCATATCCCTCACATTTGTACAAAGATGAGATAAATTTGAAACTTCTTGGTGAACATTTGAAATTTTTTCACCCCCCGTAAACCGTTCCTTCCAACCGAGAGGATCTGTATAACAGTCCAAAATTTGAATCCTATAACACAAAAATAGTCAATTGAACTTGCACATAAAAAATAACAGTAAAGGAAAAAAGAAATCATTGATACGAAATATGAAAGAGTATGCCTCTTATCTAATGATAAATTCAAGTCAATCTGAAGAATACCAAGACTCGTTACATCCCTCATGGTGAGAAATATGCTAGCTACTTTGTAGCGTCATTTTCACCAAAATTAATATTAATATCGATAATCTACTAGCTGAGTATCGCCTAATGCTATTAACAAGCGTTTCTTCCCTAGTAATCCCGGCGTTCTCACAGAAATTGAACTATTAAAAAAGGCACAGATGCAAGAATTTGCAAAGAGAACTTCACCATTTTTCAGACGATCCCACGTTCACCCCACTCTTCTTCAACAGCTCGAGGTAATACGCCGGACTTCGGGAGAACGCAAGCAAAACGAGACCTCTGAGATCAAAATTACACCACCAAAGAAAGAGTCAAAACGACTGCCAAAGCCGAACAATTTCAATCTCCTAAATGACATCTCTAAAAGGGAATTAAACTAACCGAGACTGCGATTTACCCGCCAAAATATTGCTCGAAAGCTGCATCAAAACGTGGGCAAATGCGTGAAAACCGAATGGCGAATTGATGGAGTCCTTTAAGGTGAGAGCAGGCGCGAGCTCTCCCTCTAACGCACCGTCTCTAAGTGCTCTGCAAATAGAATCCGCCATTATTGGCGAGGATATAGCAGCTTCAAGTCCTTAATTACGGAATGACTTCGACACTCAATTTGTAAACTGAGTAACCATAAGCTGAAAGTAGATTGTGGACAAACAACGAAGCAATTCAGAAATGTACGAGATTATCGAAAGAAATTACGAAGAACTCAGGGGAAAGGGATACGAACTGAAAGTGAGAGACAGACAAAGGCGCGTTAGGTTTAGAGTTTAGGAGATTCGGAAGCGTCGCTTACAAAGCAGATTTGTTCTTTTTTTTGGGTTAAAAAATCACTTTTCTGCCAACGCATTTTCTTCTAATTTGGTCACAAAAACTTTTTTTATCCTAAAGATCAAATCTTGTTCTATCATATGCATTTTATAAAATTTTGAAGGAAAAATCGAGCATTTTATAAAACCGTAAAGAACGGTGAACTTGAACACCCAAAAGAACGGTGAACTTAAACATCCAAAAAGACAATATTTGCTAGCAATAGATTTGTTTGCCAGCGATAGACTTGGATGATTACAATTATATATTTGCTAGCAGTAGACTAAAACCGTAAAGACCGGTAAACTTGAACACCCAAAAGAACAGTGAATTTGAACATCCAAAGAGACAATATTTGCTAGCAGTAGACTTATTTATGATTACAATTATATTAAACAAAATTTCGCACATGAAAATTTAAACGTTAACATAAACTAATTAAAAATTAAGACTAAACTGAGAAAAAGTGTTCTATAATCTCAATTTTTTTTAATGTTCAATTGACATGGTGTATAACAATGTTTAATTTCATTAAATTAACCAACTAATTTAAATAAAAAGCATATATTGAAGAGCAAAAATGGATATTTTTCCTTTATTTTCCAGGTTCAACAAATGTTTGTAGTCCTAAGAACTCTATTTTCATCACTATTTTTTTTTATTAATTTTTTTTCATTTTATCATCAGCCTAACATCCGCTTGAAGAAGCATTGCATAGTATATGTATTAGGGGTACTAAGAAGTGAGCATATGTATTCCATCACTTCATCGTCCATCCCGATTGGGAACCATAAAAGTGATTATCAAAATCATCCCACCGGAGCATGTGAACTCGAGGTGGGGGCTAAAATGTTTTCTCCTTCAACAACCAACAGCAATAACCTAGCAGTGTTTGGCTAAACCGGTATTGTTCTAGGCAACTCAAATTCAACTTCTTCCACACGTGAGTAATAGGCAATAAGGAAGCACAAGGGGAAGCAGATTAAGATATACAACGCAAGGTGTTAGTAGCTGTACTTCTGTTCATTTCGACCAAAAGACAGCGAATGCTAAATGCTAGTTCAACTTAAAATACTACTGCACGAACGAGGTGGAACTCGGATAAGCAAGAGATACCATAGGGTCAAACACGTTTTGGTGGTGCATATTGCACGCGCTCCTCTTCACATATATTCTGCAGAAAACAATAGTGTGAAGAACATATAAGAAGAAGAGCCTTGGAAAGTTATATTCACCAACTTAGGCAACCAGAGTAAAATGAAACATTTCAATTACGAGACTAAAACAGTTCATGTTTTGCATTTTGACGTACTAAATATCACACCAAAAAGTTTATGTTCATGCATTTATTAGCTAGATTGTGAGTATAATGGATCCGCTTTAGAAAGTTCCTCCCAGGCCCTCGGGAGGAAGGGGTATAGGACTTGTGAAGCTACTACGCATTCCCACTTTGGTAATACCCTCTTAAGAGGAATACTTGCTGCTACATTATCAACAATTTTGGATACAACAAAGCCCATGCAATCCAAAAAGGAGAGACTGCAGAGAAGAGGATGGAAGTGGAGTCGCAAGCTTTCTTTTTTTCTTTTGCTTCCTACTTGGCGAGAAATCCCTAAAAGAGGGCAGAATGGAAGCCTTAGAGTGGAATTTCAAGGCTGACAAATCGTAAAGACAAGGAAACAAAGAGCAGAGGGGTCTATCCCCCAACAGCTTTATCTTCCCAAAAATAGGCATCTTGCCCACCATACAATGAACAAACTGAGAGAAGAAATGGGGCTCATTAGAAATAGCTTTCCAAAGACTCGTAGCAATATCTCTCGAGACCCTTTTGATAGCCATTCAAAGGGTTGGCATAATGTATTTACTCATAATAACCTTATGCCATAAGTATCTGGCTCCGAGGAAAATGCCACAACCAGTTAGCAAGCAAGGCCTTGTTATGTGCCTCTAAATTCCCTATACCTAGCCCCTGAACTCCACTAGTCTAGCCACCACTTCCCAATTCACTAAATACTACACCTTTCCTTCCTCCAGCCCTTTCCATAAAAAGAAAAATGTTCAAAAGTCTCTCCAGAGATTTGCTAACCTTCAAAGGGATCTTCAACAACGATAGGAAATAAACTGTGAAACCAATGAGGACCAAGTAGGTCAAGGAAAGTCTCCTTCCCTGGGAGAAAAATCTTTTCTTCCATGCAGAGAGGCGTTTCTAAATCTTCTCCACACCAAGCTCTTAAAAAGAGGAAAGGAAAGGCCCTACATCACAACTCATCAAGGAGGCCCACCTTTCCAACTTAGGACTACAATTAATACCTAGCATCCCGTTAATCTTCAACCCCGAAATAAAATTAGAAAACTGCAACATACGGTTGAGATTAAGAAAAGACTCCTCCTTCCCCAAGAAAAAGAGAATGATCTCATCTCCATTGTCACAAAACTGGAGATGAAAATTTTGTCTGAGGCTTTGATGTAATCATTTATTTAATCCTAATGTCCTGCAACCGAAGGGACCATGGCACCAATATGCCAATCATGATTTTTAGTTTTAGAAGTTACAGGCAAGAGAAGTCACTGAATTTACTTTTAGGTCACACTTCCAAAACCCAAAGAATCAAAGGAAAGGACAGAGAGAGAGAGAGAGTGAAATAAAGGATTAAAGATCAAATGAAAAGTCCTTGACTAAAACAACCAACCAAAGGGCATGGATTTTCCTGATGGCTCTGGTAGATGATAAACACAGAAGAACAGAACACGTAAACAAATATGCTACTTCATGATTGCAAACCTGCAAATCCTCAGGGAGGGCCTCTGAGACTGCTAGAGTATAACAACCAGGGGCAAATCTTCCTGCAATAGCAGGAAATATAAGTTCCAATCAAATTCAGGAATTCCCATTATAATATTTTTCCATTTCTTCTCTTTCTAAAAGAGCAATTTGGTTTTCTTAAAATAATACACGAAGGATTCCAATTAATATCGACGTTCAAGTGTCGTAGGTTTCTTGTCTTCAAGGTAATGATATAGCAAGTATTTATTCTTTAGCTCCAAAACGTTAAAGGGAGGGGCTAAGGAATAAGAAAGAGCTCTCATATCGTAATAGTTAGCTTTACCAATTCGCAGCCATCTAGCAGCCCAACTTCTGGCAGGATCCATGACAGAAATTATCCTGCGATTGATTCAAAAGGGTACAAGAAGTGGAAGTGAAATAAAGAACAGTGAATTAAAAAGTAAAATGGAATCATGATCATAAGCCGAATATAACTTCTTTTAATATCGATTGAATCTCTAAAAATTCCATGTAAAAGATTTGAATATGTCCATTGAAATAAATGAAACTATATATCATGTCCAAACTTCAATCAAAGTCACGATGGAAGCAAACTAGTTACCAAAAATAAAAAATAAAAAAAGACAAACACCAACACAAACAAAAAAGACTACAGGCGAAGAATATTTTACAAACCCATTAAAATTAGGAGTAGTGCACTCTACAACACGCTCGTGGTCTTCGTCCATCTTGAAGAAGGGACAATTCTCACAGCCCGATTCACGAAACTGTAGGCATGATCAATACTCAATACAACAAAAAGTTCAAAAATTTCAAAGATCTTGAACAACTAAAGATTCAATTCAAGCATTCATAATGACATCACAAGCGCGAAAATAGAAGACTGCAGCTCACCTGATCGTAAGTTTTGACGAGACGACAACGAAGACAAGCTCTGAGCTCGTGCCCGAAACTGGTAGGAATTTGAGCAGGAGCGCTTGCCATTACTTCCGATCCCTCGCGTATAGTTTTCTATGACTTACTAGATCCTTCTGCCGATTACTCTAAAAACATTAGTAATTTAACGTATTGTCCGCGAAAATCCCCCATTTAGGGGAAGAGAGAAGACATTTGGAAAATGAAGAACTTACAAAGATATATGGTCGGGGGAGACTGTACCGCCGGTGGCCGGCGTCAATGAGATTTGGTGCAAAAACTAGGCAGCAAAAGAAATTTTGGGAAGAAAGCGTGCCGATTGAGGAGGAAGAAGAAGAAATAGAAATTCCTGGTTCAAAATAAAACTGGGGAACATGAATTGAGACGATTTAAACCCTAATAATTGAATCTGAAATTAAAACTTTAAAATATTTATTAAATATAAAATTTATATTTATATTTAATTAAATTAAGTTTTAAAATAAAAACATTATTTCATGATAAATATATAAACACAAATAAAAATAAAACAAAAAAAAATGATGTATTTTTAGAGTTTGATAAATAAAATAAAAGAATTAAAAAATTATTCCCGAGTTAAAAAATATAAATGTATTAATAAAATTTATTAACAGCCCAAAAATTTGAAATTCAATTATCTTAATTCAGTCTCATTACTTCTAAATTTATAATAATTTATATTATTAAAATTTTGTAAATTTAATTAAGTATAGATCCATAAATTAAATAAAGTTTTTAACACATTTTATTAATTTTTTATGCGAAATAAATGGTGCACAAATTATTACTAAAATCCATGATATAAATTTGTACCTAAATTATTAAAAAAAAAAATTGTTTCGAATTAATTTTATCAAAATTATTAGGATAAGACTACGCTTAAATGACTTTATTTGGGTTGATAGCAATAGCTGAACTGGTTATTAACACGAATGAAGAAGAGATTATAAGACATTCACTAGAAAATGCACTCTAGCATAAAAATATTGGTAGATTGGAGGAGTATTTATAAGAGAAGCTGGACAATTTTTTCTTATAATAACTAAATCATTTTCTTAAAATACATATACAATAGTCTCGTTTAATTATTGGGCTTAACCTTATCAGGCTTATTTTAATATCTAAGGGATGAATTCGTCGGAAGTTAGCCGACTGGAGAATATACACCTTTTGGAGTTGCCGGAGCTTTAGGGGCAGTAACATACGGAATGGTACCTAGTGAATTCGGAGTTTTAGGGACCGTAACAATTGGAACAATACCTGGTGAAGTCGTTGGAGCTTTAGGAGTTGTAACAATAGGAACGGTACCTGGTGAAGTCGTCGGAGCTTTGGGAATCGTAACAATAGGAACGATACTTGGTGAAATCGAAGCTTCAGGGGCTGTAATAACAGGAACGATATCTTATGAAGTCGGAGTTTCAGGGGCCGTAACAATAGGAACAGTACCTAATGAAGTTGGAGCTTCAGGGGCTGTAATAACAGGAACGGTACCTGGTGAAGTCGGAGCTTCAGGGGCCGTAACAATAGGCACGGTACCTAGTGAAGTCGGAGCTTCAGGGGCCGTAACAACAGGAACGAAGCAATGTTACATAAATGTCCACCAATTTTTTAATAAATAAGGGCCCAATAATATTAATATGGGTAGAAAATTGAAATGAAATTTTGAATTAACCCCATCTAAATTTAGTAAAGGTAGACCCTTCGTATTAATTTTCATTTATTGGTTCTCGTACAAATCTTTTGACTTAACGACTTTCAAGTCAACTTTGGCAATTGTAGTTAAATTTAGGTACATTTAATCAATGAGGACAAAATTGTAATTTAACGTGACTTGTCAACTTTGCAACACGTCCGTTTGAGGGATTTATTTTTAAGGGTGTTCGTATAACTCGAGAACTTGACTAATCTAAATTACCCAACTTAAACTATAAAAACTGGGTTGGTGTGATTTTTTTTTTTCCAATTTCGGTTGGATTGGATTTTTTGAAAAATTGAAAAAAAATTCAAGTTGGTTCACTGGTTGATATTTTCTGGTCAGGTCAAACCAACTAACCCGAAAATAATGTTACAACCTAACTCTACTTTACTCTACTTTTACTATTAGTATAAAAATTAAAGATATTTCCAACCAATTTCTTGGGCAGATGTGAAATCCCATGTTGATTGTGGAGGAGAACGAAACATTGTTTAGAGGTATGGAAGCAGAAAGCCTAGAGAGGAGAATATCTGTTAGTAGTGGGTTTGGGTCGTTACAAATGGTATCAGAGCTAAACATTGAGCAATGTTTTAGCGAAGAGGCCAAACCTCGGAAGGTGGTGTGTCAGTAAGGACGTTGGACCTTGAATGGGATGGATTGTGAAGGGTCTCACATCATGTCATCAAGAACCCTGGCTCCAAAAGAGGTGGATCGAGAGTTCCCAGATCGATGGAGAAGGGAACAAGTGCCAGCGAGAATACTGGACCTCGAAGGGGTGTAGAAATTTCTCTCTCCTAACGATGAACTTGGGCCATTACAAACATCTCTAATTACCGAAAAAAATTAAAAAAGTTTGAACGATAGAGACAAGTATGTAATAATCCCATTTTTATTTATAATTTGATTTGGTAATAGGGATTACATTCGCATATACCAACTTCCATTTGCATTATGGGGAGCATGGTTTCTAGCAGGTTGGGACAGCAACACGGCAGATGGACGCAACCACTCTGACGCGAGGAGATGTCACATAAGGTTTGAACTTTGGATCTTTTAGGTACCCACAATAGCATGACTGTTGTTCCTTCAACTTCGCGCAGCAAGTCGGTGTAGGCGCCTCCGACGACGTGATTGCAGCGACACATGAGCTCAGATCCATGGGGTTGCAAGTCACTGCTTCCCCGAGACGAGCTCCGGTGAGAACTGCCACCATCGCCACCGCCACCAGAACGCAAAGACCTGTTTTCTTCATTCTTTTGATTTTTTGTGTATTTGGAAGCAAAAGAAAGAAGAGTGTGTGAGTGCATTTTGCTAAAGGTTTGAGCCTGTATTTATAGCCTTGTGAAGTGGAATGCATGCACATTATTGACACTTGTAACAGCACGGAATGCATGCACATAATTGACATTTGTACCAGCACGGAATACATGCACATAATTGACACTCGTAACAGTCGGTGACGAAAGCCCAAAAACCTTGAAGAGAAGCCCGAAAAAGAAAGCGTAAAGATAACAATATCTAGATGAGTACTGGCTCTATTGTATAGCTTTGAAAAAATGCGTTTTATAAACGCGAGACTAACGGCGATACGTAATATGTCAAAATAGACAATATCTACTAGCGGTAGATTTATTAAATTCTCACTCCCTACCACCTACTACTTTGTTAATAGTGCAGCCAAGTTCATGACATCTTGGAATTGGCTGACTTTAAGGGTAGCCCTCCACATGTGGGCTTCAAAGTTGGAGCATAGAAGGTGTACTTAATTAGAGGGTATGCATGGCATGAACACATTGTTTTGGGAGAGAAGAAGGACATTTGTTTCATTTGTTGTGTCCAGATGTTGCCAATTCTAAACGAATTAATACTCATTGATGTACATATTTGAACGTCATGAACGATTGTATTTAACCTATCTTTAATGTCATCTTTCATGTGAGGTTGGGTTCTTTAAATTCCATTACATAATCTTCAACTGTTTTGAAATAAATAGACTGATCGTGTTTGAATTTGAAAATGGGTTTATTTTGTTTGATTTTTAAAATAAGAAAGAAGTATTAGGCTACGTGATTTTGAAAATAATTTTGAAATTTTGGTTATATAAATGAACTGAGACGACATCCGAGTGATAGCGATCTTAAAGATGTGATGACTAAGAAAGACTCAAAAGAAAGGAAAGTTATTATCTATATCAATAAGGTTAAGGTACACCTTCTTTTTCGGTAGGTCAATCATAGGAACTTTTTCATGGTTAAGTGTGTTTAACTTGGAGCAATTCTATGTTGGATGACCTTTTAGATGTTTTCATGGGATGCATGTGAGTGAGGACAAAACATGCGGGAAGAATTCGTGTTGGTCTGTGAGGATAGTCTTTACTCTTAAGAAACGAGGAGTACATAGGTAACGTGACAATGTCGTAAGGGATGTAGGAAAATGTCGTTGGTATGTAAGGATAGTCTTCACTCATAAAAATCGAGTAGGTAACATGACAATGTCGTAGGGAATGTAGGGAATGCCGGAGTCATCAAGAGTCAAATTTAGATTCCAAATCCTGGACATGGGTTGTTACACGTTTTCGTCCTGACTTCAGCCAATAGAATAGAACCAATGTGTTCAAACAAACGACAGTTCAAGTGATAATATGGTGTTGGGTTAAAATATCATTACTGGCAAAATGGCCAAATGGCCAAATAGGGTTAGGTCCTACCATTGTATGAGTGACTATATTTATGTTAAAGAGAATGATTGAGGTATTTTAGGAATAAATTTAGAAAAATGATTTAGGTATTTTAAAAAAAATTGATAAATTTTAGGAATAGATTGACTACCATCTAATATAAATACCGAACACCTTCATCGTCTCAAGAAATTCCAAGCAATACAAAATAGTAGTTTCTACTGAGTATCTTGTAAATCTCTCCTCGATTGGTCTTAATAAAGTGTGCGGGTGTTTAAGACAGAGAGTTGTGTTCAACAAATTATTGATTAGAACAATCATCTGGGTCCGTCCAAAATCCTCTTATATCTTTGTTGTATGGAACGGATTATTTTGATGATCAAGATCAAGAGTAAAAAAACTCGTTTCTAAACTCGGATTCGAATCACTCCACAAAAGACTTGATCAATACCTGAATGACTACAGCATGCAAGTTCTAAACACAAGAATTTGCAAAGAAAATCTTAACTCTCAACAAAGCTAAAAAAAATATTTCAAAATGTGAGGTATCTAATCAAAGAAAAGAAGCTTTGTATAGCCTTTACAACTTTAATCTATGTGACACATCACTCTCAAATTAAATTGGCTAGTAAATGAGAAATATCAATGACTAGTTAATAATGGGATATGGTAACCTATACTAGTTACAATATAACTGTAACTCCTATATTAAAAACTAACTTAAATATGACAAACAAATATTTAAATTATAATTAAATAGTGCAATGAAATGTGCTTATTAGCCGATCATTGTACTAGTTTCATAAATTTAGCTGAGTTCATTAAATGCAACGTAAAGTGCATTTAATGCATCTCTTTCTTAAAGCTCAGATTTGCACAATAGAGGTCTCCAACGTCTTTTAGAATTTTCTTTGATGAGCTCACCATAGCTTGAATATAAGTGTACAAAGTTTGTTGCAACTTTTTGGCTCTCGTTCTTGTAATTGAA